ACATCAAAGTTCAAGTAAAATCATTTACAATATATCCCGGAAATAATACGCTATCAATTGACAACGCAGTTATTGGACAGCTTCCTAATTTCTTAGCTTTTTGCATGGTAAAAAACAAATCATATTCAGGAAATCGATCATTAAATCCCTTCAACTTTGAGCATTTCAAAATCTAACGCTCAAATCATTAGATCTAATCTAATGGTAAATGGAGTGCAAGTACCATCGCAGGCACTTGAATTTGATTTCTCGAATTCTGAAAATGCTCAAAGCTCTGGAGGATATAATATGTTATTCAGATCAAGTGGTATAAGACATTATGATCAAGGCTTGCAAATCACAAAGGAAATGTTTGATAAAAACAGTTTTATATTAGCATTTGATTTAACTGTAGATCATCATAATTCAACTGTATGCTCAAATTTGATTTCTCAAGGATCCATCCGAATTGAAGGACGTTTTTCTGAGCGTCTTACAGAAGCAGTTACTTGTCTGGTGTACTGTGAATATGACTCAATGATTGATATTGATAAACATCGAAATATACGTGTTCTTCTGTAAAAATGAATACATGGCAAATCGATAATTTGCTTTAAAAGCATTCAAAAACAAAAACAATTTTTAAAGGAGTTTATCCCTCTGATAGGCTCCCAAAAATAATTTCTACATATCCTGCTTTAATTATAGCTAACACAGATTCTTCAAACCGTCCAGGAAAGCATTGGGTTGCATTTTACTTTGATAATAAGCATTCAGCTGAATTTTTTGACTCGTATGGTCAATATCCTCAGAAGAACGAATTTTTAAAATTATTAAGGAATAATTCATTAAAGTTTACATTCAATAAAAAACTACTTCAAGGATATTTTTCAAGTACATGTGGTCATTACTGTATCCTATATGGAATTTTTAAAAGCAAAAAAAAAGCCTTAATTTTATTTTAAGCAATTTAAGAAAAGCGACTTTAATTATAATGATAAGCTTATAATGAAAATGTTTAAAAAATTTGTTTAAAAGTAAAAATAAAAAAACAACGCATTTATATTTTCAAGTAAAAATTGTTTTTTTTTTTAGTGGGATTTATTCTGTTATTTAATCAATAATATTTAAGCATGAGGTCTATAGCTTGGGCTGTCTTTGCCGGTGACGTATGTCAAAGGCATGTCTCAGGTCCATCGGTAGCATCGTCGTCGCTCCAGGGGCACAGCTTATAGTGAAACCCGAACTTGAGTATTTGAGCTCCTTTTCCTCCAGATCCTCCAAAATAACCATGAGGTTTTCCACGATTTTCAAATGCTTATCGAAAATCATCTCTTCGAATTGCTATACCATTTACCATATACCGTCTATACCATTTATCTCTTTCTAACTCCCAAATGTATTTATGTTTTAACCTGTTTTCTTATGTTTTATGTACATAAATATCTAGTTGTCTCTTTTCTCTTATGTATAAGAGAGGCAATCCCTTGAATTCTTAATTTATTCTTTACATACAAATTGGAAATGGGGAGTGCTATATCTAGTCATCTCTTTTCTTTATATATAAGATGTGAAATTCCATGCTCCTTTAGCATCTAAAGGGTGTTTCTGTGAAAAATTTAGTCACATAACTTTTAGGTAAAAATATCCAAAGCGGCTCATTGTCCTTATCACTTAAATAAAGGACTTACCTTTGTTCCAAATTATGTTTTTTTAAGTTTACATCCATTGATCTTGTACGCAAATCCTATACATAGATCTTCAACCTTGGTGTATCCAATCGGTGGTTTTATCTCGTTAAGTGTTTCTAGGAACGCATATGCATGTACATGTCTAATAAAGTTTTGTTTATCCTTTTATATATAAAAAATACAAAGAGCTTACATACCATTATAAAAATGAAACTATTCAAACTACACAATGTTTTATACTAAATTATTTAATCATGATTACATGATCTTTTATACTCTAATTCGTCTTTTCTTCTAAAATGAGATCTATGCTGATTGGTTGTTGCGTTGGGTATATAGTTGTAATCATGTAAAATCCAGACATGAGAAAAGGATTTCAAATATTCTATTTTTTGTCTTTATATACATACATACATACATGTATACGTATGTACATAAACCATTCAAATGAAAACACTATATATATATATAAAAATGGACCGTGTGCTATGTTTTTTACATTTAACATATGCTCATACATAACTCGAAACCCCATATAAGAACATCTACTTCTTAAGATACGTTAATTCATTTGCTATTCGAAATGAGTGAGCTTTATTGCGAGTTGTGTTATATGAAAAGAAGTTTTGGGTCCCGCAATGGACTGAAACATCACGATTTTAAAATTCATAACTTCAGTTATCAAAAATCAAAATCATCTTTTTACCAATGTTACTCATGTCCCGGCGCTATACAGTTTTGGCTTAGATTTGACCTCAGTATGCATGTTTTATTAAAGCATAACGAATATTTAAAACAATTACACAATAAATGAAATATTAAGAAATAAAATAAATATGTACATTTCACTTGACTTTTCATGATGTTTTAATATGATGTGAAATTCAACCAATAAATACATTCAATAGTACCTGCATTCTACCTAAAATCTACTTATTCTTTTTGTGTAATTCTCCCTTAGAAAAACCAAGTAAGAAACGCATCCTATGAGTCTCTGTGGAGTGAAACCAAAGTAAAAAAAAAAATACCCATTGAAAATAAATATTGTTTTAAATTTATATTGTATTTATTACATATTATGTGTAGAAAAATACATCAATTAATTGTATTAAACATAAATAAGAATATTATTAAAATTATGTCTCGGCTCTTTCTACCGCAGCTATTAATTCGATATTATCTTTGTCGCGAAGAAGTTCCTCGAATCGTTCATTATCTTTGTCATCTTTTGTCGTTATAATTACCTTCGTCATTATCATCGACCAAATCGAATATACTGTCATCATCCGTGAAGTTGAATGTTTGAATTTCGTCAATCGGAGCGGCAGTCAATAGGTCATCGAGACTATCATCCCACATAATATCACTTAAGACGTTCCATTGAATTATATATTCTTGCGTTTTAATTCCGAATATCAGCGAAAGGACCACGGACTCGGCCTGGGTGTCCAGATCTATAGTTGTCTCAGGTTGCGAGTTTATAAAAATAATTTCGAGGTCATCCATCTTCGTTTAGAATCCACTAGCTTATGAGAAGGCTTGTAGCTGTGAGTAGCTATTATATGGCATGTAACTAGAGGACAGTGTTAGGCATACGCAGAGACAAAAGAATCGAAAACGAAAGTAAACGAACAGTCAACGGGCTAGAAGGACCTTTTACAGAAAAAACCATTAGCACCACAAAACCATAAAACCAAAAGAAATAAACGATCCCAAAATAAAATAGTGCCGCAGATTCATTTGAAAGGGACGGGATGAAACACTTGCTTGAGGGATGTTTGAATCGGTGCAGGGAACCAATCACATAAGCAGAGAGAGGGATAGTTGTTTGATGGGTGCTGTCCAGGATTATTGATCATGGATTTTTTGACAAAGTTAGTTCACATCTTGTCCGCTAGAGGGAGCCACAAAAGCAGTAAGGATATAGGGACTTGCTCATATAATAGCCACTCACACCCGCCCAAGCTCTGTTGTTCGGAAAGCACAAATGCAGTAATTAAAATGTTCTGCATCTCAATGCAGACCAAAGATTTCCTCTAATGAGTCGACGGACCCGAAGGGCATGGGAATTGTGTATCCAGAGAAAGCGATGGAAAGGTACATTACATATACTTAAGTTATATACTTAACATACTTAAGTGTGAGTCTGACACACTTAGGGCGGCCTCGGCCCGTTGTGATACCGCAGGAGAATCTTTCCTATTTCCACAATGTGAGACATGGAGTCAACAGTTATCCCCCCTGTTGCGTATATAAGGCGTGCTATCTTTCTGGGATAGATTGTAGATATTTCTAAAATATCAGTTAAAAAGGGTGTGCCCAAGTGCATTAGCCGCGTTCTGTTAAGGGCCTGGCATTAGCGGAACAGGTGTTCGACTGTTTCCTCCCATTCCTCGTCGGTACAGCTGTGATATAAATCATTGTACTCATGAGGCACCCAGCCTGTTAATATGGGCGATTACACTACTCGGCACGATTTGCCGCTTCAGACCAGACTAACTTTTTCTGAAAGATGTGGTGCTTAGAAATGGTTTGACAAAATTATATATATTTTTGTTGTACATCTGGTTGAAATGAGCTCAACTTTCCATAAAGCTGTAAACGCATGTATAATGTATACTTTGTGGTCTTAACTTACCAATTGAAAAATATTAAGCTTTCAAATGCAAAAATGTTGATTTTTGTGAGGTATTTTTTACGAAGTTTTAACTTTAAAAAGCTAGCTAATTAGCTAAGGTTTTTTTCGAATCTGAAGACAGAAATTCTCTAACAGTGGGCGCGCAACCCTCCAAAAGTTTTTTTTGGGTTGGTTGAACAATTATAGCTCATCCGTCTCTCCATAGTGGATACAGGATCTCATTTTTTTCGACTTTTTCTGAGTTTTTAAAGCCAAAATTTCCTAAAAAATACTTTACAAAAATAATACTTTACTTTCTGCTATAGAAAAAGAACCATAATCCTTTAAAAAAGAAAAAGTCGGTTTGGTTCGAAGCGGAAAAAATTTATCGGTGTTGTCGAGTAGTGCTGTTAGCCAGTGCACTGGTTACACTGCAGTGTCTCGAAAGGGAGCGTATGACAGCGATGCATCTATTCCTGCTAAACTTGCGCAGCTCGGCGGTGCGCTTCCTGTTTACGGTGCGACATTGTGGAAATAGTTGCCTTCTACTATCGGTTAGTCCCCCGAATCGCTTCTTTAGAATGAGCTTACATTGGCATACAAATATCCTCCTTGTCTTTAAAAAGGGTAACTGAAGTACCAAGTACTTGTACTTAGCTTCAGCAAAGATCGATGGCCAGAACTTCCTATTGATGGCATGCCCACAACAACATATGTATTTTAATCTGTTCACTTCCAGGTACTGCGTGGAGTTCGAGGTTATCAAGGCGTCGAAGGCTTGCCACAAGTTGACGCCCTACAACCTGATGCTGGAGGGTAAGTGGGTGACCATATGGGGGAAGCAACAACTCATAAGTTCTGTCAAACGTCCAGGTGATCGAATAACTGTGCGCTGCGATCTCGGGGCCCTCATCCAGGATGGTGCAAGCGGCTCCAGCACTACTGCAGTCAGATCTGCGATCCCCACTGCTTCATCCACGACCACTGGGCCCTACAAGGAGGAGGACGGTTCCAGTGCGGGGGAGAGCGAGGATAACAGCAGCAGCAGTAATGACGAAGACGACAAAAACAACAACGAGGAGGGGGAAATGGCGGTTGAAAATGCCCAGAATATGCTCGATCCAGGTAGCAATGAGAACTACGAGAGGGAGCACCACCGCCAGGCAAATATCCGATCGCACCGCGACCGCCCGTGGGGCAGTCCCAAAAAGAGCGCCACACCGGCCACGCGGCCACCGGCGCCAACGCCGAGCTTTCACTGCCGCGGAGAGGGTCTCGCTGGCCGCACGATGAGCTGGAGCGCATTGCCGGCGCCGTCGTGTCGCGGAAAGTTTATCCGCCTCACCGTCGGACCCCCCAAGAAGTGCAGCCACGCGCAGTTCATCTTCGTCTAATCGCTCCCCTCTAATATAAATTGTAGTCTCGATCGCATCGTCAATATGGAGAACGTTTATGAAGGTTATGGTGTGTTACGGTGCTTCGGAAAAAGGAAACCCAAAAGAAAAAAGCAAAAGCAAAGGCAAAACCTGGCGCGAAGGGACACACAGTCCCCAGTCCACAGTCCCCACCAGTCGCAAACGTCTAGAGGCCTAAGCCGATCCCAATTAATTTCCGCACTATCACTATCACAGCATTTTCATGTATGTACAATTTTTAACTTTAACTTTAAAGCCCCAAGTAATTAAGAGGAATAAATTTACATGTATGTAGGTACTAGTAGTGAGTAGAATCTTTTTTTTTTTTTGTGCCCACACCAAGTTAAGATCGTGGAAAGTCAAATCACACGTTATTTTAAAGGCATTGTAACAGCTCTCAGTTGATTATTTTAAAGGACCGAATCAGCGTACTCGAATTGTGGAAATATACATTCTTATTGTAGTAGTTGGCGGGAAACTCTAAAGTAAAAAATTGCACGACGGGTGTAGAGATACGACATGATGTTCTATCTTGTATTGGCTGGGATTGGTAGATAGTAGACGTAATTCATCACAAACTATATAACAAGTAAAAAGGAAGAAACGAAATGATCTTTGGAATGGAATGCTAGAAGTGTCTAGAACTTTGATTCAATCTTCTACGAGCACACATAGTCGTACATATGTACAAATGTACATACATACATACCAACATACATACGCGTATAGTGGCACCCGCATTCGATCCATATTGCATCATGCAAAACATTCGTACACACAACAACAGACACTGACATATAAAGGCCAAGAGTGGCGGTGAGGGTGCCTCCCCGGCCCTACCCTTTGAAAACATTCTTAAGTCGGAATTAAACTTTGGACCTTAGCGGTAAATTGGATTCTAGGTACATACGGATGTCGAAAATATTTCATAGAATTACCTATAATTAAACAAATACTGAAATCATTTAATAAAGAAGGAGTTTAATTTTAAAATAACTCACCGCTCTTTTCTCTCTTTTCATATCTACATATATCTCTCATTGTCTCTCTCTCTCTCATTGTCTCTCTCTTTCTGCTGGTATTGGGCAAGAAAGTTCCTAACTTGGCACAACTTTTTTGGCGGCTGTTTACCGTCACTGGACGGGACGGAACTGGGCGGACCAGCTGATTCGGTATTACCGTTTGACCCAATTGTCTACGAGTATGTGACAGGCGTGAGTGACGTAGCAATCCGGTTTTGAAATTTCTCCCATTTGTAATACTCAGAGACGGCCTCGAGTTCTCGGTAAAGGCCAGAAGAGGGAACACAGCGCAGTCGTTGGTTAGTCTCAAAGCAAGCGCAGACCAAGTTTGACCGTGTGCAAGTACAAGCACGCACCTGTCTGAGTAGATCCAGCTCAACCGTTCCGCAGTTTCAAAGTAAAGACAATTCTACATTATTTATCGATTGATCTTACGGAAGATTTACTCAGTTAACAATAATATGTGCTCTGCTCAGTCATCAACGCTTCAATTTTTCAAGCGGGTTGGGCTGATTACCCCTCTTTGTGATTCATGCCCAGAAGAAAGTTGTCTTCCAACATGCTAATTGTGTCTGAGAGGCCGATTGCTTTTTATGATCCAGCCCGCTCTAGGCCAAACAATAAACATATTATATTTTTGATACGTGTCTTGAGTCTAGAGTCTAGAGTCTAGACCCTAGAGTAGATAATATTGTTTTCTTACATTTCATTGAGAGGTTTTTCCTTTCACATAATCACCTATAGCTTTGACTGAAGGAATCCTAGATAATAATTGTACCTGCCATTATGACAAAGCTGGATTAGATCGGATTAATATTATAGCCTGAATAAATTATACGATTCTACGTTGTTGATTCGCATATAACGCGATCTCTCTCTCTCGCTCTCTCTATTTTACGTATTGTAACACTGTAACATAACCAGCTCTTACTCTCTTTATGTTTCCCCCTCAACCGTTGTGTGTTCTCACATGAAAAGTGCACAAAAAATTGAAAGAAATGCGCATTATTCGACTAAAAAGTCTGTCTTCGATAAAAAAAAAAAATATAACACATTAGTGACACATGTAAATGATGAGCTAAAAGTTATTTTCCACCGACCAGGCATGTTGCCGTGCAATTTAGGGGGGCAGGCGACGCTCCTGCTGACAACAATAATAGCCACACTCAGCATAGAAGACGGATGGGCATTCCTGCGAAACTTCGAAGTTCGCCAAAGCAGCGGCTCCAAAATTCCGCTATGGAAACAACGCGTAAGTGTAATTGTCCCCCCACTCAGTATTCGGGAGTGAAGCGACTAATTCGCAGCAATCGATTCTTGCGGCAGGCGTGCGAGAAGCCTCAGAATCTTAAAGCAAACGCCCACTATTTGTGCGACGAGGAAGGAGACTTCACTTGTCTTCCCGGATGGCAGGGCGACCTCTGCCAGGTGCCCATGTGCCGGCGGGGCTGTGATCCAATGAATGGTAAGAAACTATTACAAACATGCGAGTGTGTATACGTCATACATATGGATCCCACCATTGCAGGGTACTGCCACCGGCCAGGCGAGTGCCGGTGCCGCATCGGATACAGTGGGGAGATGTGCGAAACGTGCATTCCGCTGCCCGGGTGCCAGCACGGTGACTGCACCAAGCCCTTTGAGTGCATCTGCAAGCCCGGATGGGCTGGACTCTTCTGCACAGAACGTAAGTAGAATCGCATCTCTGAAAACTCTCGGAAAGCAATACATACGACTGACTATGTATGTTTGTAGTTCTAGTTGGGGCACAAGTTGGACATGATTGCTTTCAAAGATAATCCTGTGTACCGCTGGGGCCGTTGCTCCCAATTACATATAATCAGAAGTTATATCTCTTTCTCACATTCCTTCTGCGTCCTGCAGCGACCTGTCGGAGTGGGTGTCACAGCACCCGAGGGTATTGCGAGGCACCCGGAGAGTGCCGCTGTCGCATCGGGTACGCGGGACGCACTTGCAGCGAGTGCGCCACCATGCCAGGCTGCCAGCAAGGGACCTGCACCAAGCCGCTGGAATGCCTCTGCCTGCCCGGATATACTGGCCTGCTCTGCCAGACGCGTAAGTTCCACGAACGCGTCCGTGTCCTGCGATACATGTTGACTCTCCTCTCCCATCCCGTGTCCCCTCCCTGCAGCTCTGTGCGCCTCTGACTGCAGCACGCAGCACGGGTACTGCCGCAAGCCTGGCGAGTGTCGGTAAGTAGGAGCTCGAGGCAACCTGTCCCTCTAGATACACATTCACATTCATCACTCTTCATTCAGCTGCAAGGTGGGCTGGACGGGCAGCCAGTGCGACAAGTGCTTCCCCTACCCAGGATGCGCGAACGGGGACTGCGAGGCGCCCTGGGAGTGCAACTGCCACTCCGGCTGGGGCGGCATGCTGTGCGATGAAAGTGAGTGCTTGCAACCCGAGGCGAGGCTGGTCCTACAGTCATAACCAAACGTTCCATTCACCACAGAGCTGAGCTACTGCACGGATAACCCGGGGACGTGCGAAAACGAGGGCAAATGCTTGTCGGTGAGCCGCGAGGGCGGCAGCTTTCGGTGTCTGTGTCGGCAGGGGTACCTCGGAAAGAACTGCGAGATACGCGATGACTTTTTGCTAACCTCTTTGGCGCCACAGCTTATTACACCACCGCCACTAGAGCTTGGGCTGGAGCTGGACGATGTGCGCAGTGTGGATACTGACGTGAACGAAGGTGTGCCTGATGCCTCAGGCAACACAGTGGGACAGGTGGAAAAGTTGCCAGCAGCTGTGCCCGCACCAACAACGCTGACACCAGGCACCGCACCGCCGAGCATCGCCACGACAAGGACGACGGCAACAACGTCAACGATGGCCACGTTTCCAGCAGCTGGTGCTGGCTCTGTCCCTGGCAGTCACAATACGACTTATAAAGCATTAAGCGTTGCTGCTTCGCTCCCTGATGGGGCGACATCAATGGGGCATGCCGCCACGACACCAAAAGCGACAGCAGCAAAAGCAATGGCTGGAGCGAAGGGTAATGCAACAAGTTGGGCAGTTCCCTCTCTTGTGCCTGGCCCCACAGAATCTTCCACAGACTTCGCTGGCCATGTGCAGAAAAAGGAAACGTCGGCGCCAGCTGTACCAACGACACCAAAAGGCGTGACCACCACCTTCACCAGCAGGAAGGATGGACCAGCGGCCGTCGAGGATGACGACGATGATGATGACGAGGAGGATGCCGAGTACGAGGAGGATGATGAGGAAAACGAGGACGAGAAAGACGAAGAAGAAGTGGACGGCAGCGATCAATTCCTACCAAATAAATTCTAATTAATTTCCAATAATAATTAATTCCTTTTTATTTATTTGTGATTGTTGTTGTGGAAATTTAGTTTTACTTATGTTTATGTACACACATATACATAGATACATATAAATGTATATGGTAGATTTACGAACATATTTTAACTTTTGATAATTTAATTTATTTAAGCTTTCGCCCTAGCCAATTAAAAAAAATATATAAAATTATTATTTTGCAAATTTGAAAAATATTCAAATTTGTGTGTCAGAGCATTCGAATGCTGCCCACGCATTGCACTTGGCTTGCCTAAAGCACAGAACTCAGATCTAAGACAAAAACGATAAGCATACTGGGATGGGAGAAAAGGTTGTGGGGGTGGGGGTTACATACATATGTATATGGCCATTCAAGCGCCACCAAGTGGGGGGGAGTTGGAAAACAAAGAAAACTAAAGGACCAGCAACACATAAGCTATACACACTCGCACGTGTACATATTTAAAAGGTTTTATGTATATATGCATGTATGTATGTACATATGTATCTTGCATGTACATATCTTGTATATGGGCTTCTGTTAGCATGAAAATATATATTATAAAACTTACAAAACGAAAAAAAAAAAATTGTAGTTTATGCGGAAAACTTCCAATAAGAAGGAGAATAATTCTGTTAAAATATCCAAAATGCTAGAAAACTGTTTAAACAAAAGTTCTTGCTTCTTGATTGGCCCTCCCTAATTCAGCTCCCGCTTGTCCCGCTGACTGATCTGGGCCATGGTGATGTACTGGCGCACCAGCCGCGATATCTCATGCGCCTGCTCCGTCTGGACGCGAATCACTCGCTGCTGCATGAGATTGCCGACCTTCATGTCCAAGAAGAGGGCTCCATCCTCCGAGCGCACCTGGTCGAAAGTATAAAGTATAGAGTTGAGAATTGATAATCAACTGCGTCTTAAGAAGTGTGGGGGGTGGAGTGGGGCTCACCTTGCGGGTGGATATCACTTCCATGAAGCTCCAGTGCTGCAGAGTCTCGTGCGTGTTGGGATCGAGGAAGAGCACTCCACGCCGATTGAGGGCGAGGATTAGGTCGCGCCACATGGGGCTATGGTTGTCTTCCACGTGCGGCCCTTCCTCGGCCCAGATGCGCTTCACCGCAAAGAAGCTGCTGCCGAAGAGCGGCCAGGCGGCCAGCACATTGAGGAACTGGGCCTTCACCTGGCTTGGACTCAGGCCGGCCACCTGCGGCCAGGCGGACTGCACCAGGCCGACCCACTGTGCCGGCCGTATCTCGCGTATGCCAAGCGCCGGCTTGGGCAGGAGAAACTTGATCTCCTTCATGGCCGGCACATGACTGAGGTCGGCGGCTCGGTGCAGCAGCGCCGCGATCCTGGCCATGTCACGCACCATCTCTGGCATGGGCACCCCGTTGCCGGGCAGCTCCAGCAGCAGGCCCTCCAAGTAGTCGGGGGCCACCTGGTTGAAGAGAACCTCCACATATAGCGGCATGGGCGCCGGCTCGCGCTTGAGGGCAAAGTGCCACACAGAGCGGCAGAAGATTAGATAGAAGGGCTGCCCGGACTTGAGCAGCTCCGTCGTCACGTCCAGTATGTACTCGTCAGCTGCCAAGGGCATGGTGAAGGCGTCGCCCTGCACGATGCAGTACAACGAGAATTCCTGCTGCTCCGCCTCCGACTCGACGCCCAGCAGAGAGCACAGCTCGGCTATGACATCAGCTACCACCGTGGAGCACCGCGTGTTCACCACCCGCTCAGCGCCCCCCGGCAACCTGTAGATCTGTCGCCTGGCCGAGCGCCCGGCAGACACGGCCGTCACCTCCTCCACACTTGGCACGTTCTTGCGGCCGCCGCAACGCGCCGTCTTCCGCAGGTTGGTGAGGCAGACGGCAGCCGTGCCGTGGCAGGAACGACGGCGGTCCGAGGCAGCCGAGGTCAGGTGCTCCATCAGGTACGGCCGCAAGGCATCTGAGCAGCCAAAGTAAGCGGCCAGAATGCTCAGCAGGCGCCAAGCGCGCTGCGAGCTGTCCGGGCAAGGTGATCGGTTGGCCGTGGTCTGCTTCATCAACTGACAGTACACCTCGTCTCTCAGGGCCAGATATTTGTGACAATGCTGCAAGGGAAAGGCAGGGAGAAGCCAAGGAGAAGGCAAGGGGAAATTAGACTCAATGAAAAATTTAATTTGAAATGCAATAAAAAGCTGGTAAGACAGTTAGACTTGGTGAGTACATGGGATAAATACGACTCAAATAACCTGAAGACAGTATCATGCGGAATATAGTTCCTTTAATACATATATTCCTCATTTATCTACGACTTGACTCGTTCTGTCTTTTACAGGCATCTAACATTGCTTCAATTGGAAAATTTTCGATTAAATATGAATTTATTTTCATGCATTTTTTTAATCTCTTATAAGATGGAAAGTGGGCATTTCCGTGGTAAGTATATATCTAAATCAGGGCTCGGCTCAGCCCAGCACTATTAAGTGTGCATAGCAGATGGCTCTGCCGCGGCTCTGCAACTCACTTACACGAGTATTACAGTGATTCGTACACAACCAATACATTGAAATACTCCGTTTGGGTGCCGAGTCCTCATCTCAATACATATTTGTATACCTTTTTGTTTAAATACACAGCCCAAGATCCCAAAAAACACAACTTTTTGTCATTAATCCTAAAAATAAAACTAAAGTAACTAAAATATAAGTAAAATTGAGTCTTTTAGACCACGCCTTGCTGCCGCCCGCCATGCGAACTGAAGCCCATTTATGTCGTATTTATTATAATTATGAATTTAAAAGATGAATTATGATTAAATATTAAAATATTTTTCAACTTAAAAATAATACATTTAATTGATTGATTGTAATCCAACGCTCCAACGTGCGATTGCATTTAGTACTTGTTTACCTAAGCAATAAATTTGATATTTTATTTTAAATTTCAATAGTTCAATCCTTTCTAAAGTACGCGAAGTTCAAGCGATTGTTGTTGGTATATTGATTGGGAAATAATATGTAACTTGAACCTTGGTGAACTGAGCCCACGGACATTTCTTAGTATAAAGCTAAAAATAAACCCGAACAAAATAACTATCGGAAAAGATTTATTAAAAGTTCATCTACATATAATGACCTGTAAATTCCATATTTACGCTATTTTGTAATATATTGTACCGAGCTAACATTCAACCTGCAAGTTGTTCAATGTTTCCCGCACTTTTTTACAGTGCGAAGCTCCTCTGAATAAGGGTACTTCGTAAAAATCTTCTTAAACTATTTGTATTCCATCTTGATATTCAGAATCAGAAAATTAAAGTCCCATTCAAAAATTTAGCAAAAATTAATTCCATTTACCCATAGTGAACTGGCTACTGTATTTGTCGGCGAAAGTGTATGAAAGGAAACGTTTCCGACCCAACAAAGTATATACATTCTTGATCAGCATCAACATCCGAGCTTTTATCTATCTATATGTCTGTCTGTCTGTCTGCCTGTCTGTCCGTCCGTCTTGTTTGACGTCTCCTTCTGAGAGACTCAAGAGCAAGAGTCACCAAATTGTGTATGAAGACTCATGTGATATCACACTGAATATTGTTTATTTTAAAGTTTCGCACCGTCCCCCCTTCCGCACCCACAAAGGGCGAAAATTTCTCATATCCGCAATTGTGAAGATAAGTAAAAACTAAAGCAGCAATTCCAGGGAGAATGGCCATATCTATCAGGTCCCCGAATTAAGATCGGCTCAGATCATTATTATAACCAGAATGAAGAAATTAATTTGCATTTGTTTTCCCCACCCCTTCTAGCAGCTTTGCTTATGCTTGCTTTTTTCCTCGTTCTTTCTCGCTCGCACACTCTGCCTCATGCATGGTGTGGCTCTGGGGGAGGGTGTCGAGCTGAGAAGTGTTGGCGTGATGGCGTGTTGGTGTGAGAAGTGATGTAGATGTAGAAAAAGGGAAAATTTAAAACTCGAAAAAAAAACGAGAAGGGACGTGTGAGACGCTTCTTACGCGTCAAAACTTTTATAGCCGGCACTCAGGACTACATCTAGATGTAGAAAACATCGCCAACCACTAGATTTCGTTCACATTACAGAACACGTAGTAAAAAGCCTACTAAATAAAATGCATCAAACAAATTGGATCAGTTAATCGTATGTTCCAATTTATGAGATATTTAAAACAGAAATAAAATTGGTACTTTTTCCCTGCACATTCTGTGCAGGTTTCACATCAGATTTTTCGAAAGTGGCGCCATCTATGAAAATTTCTTGTACGCATCTTTGATGGTCACTCTTGTTCTAATACAGAGCGTTAAAAACCGTGTCTTGGTTTTAACTTTTAAAAATTAGCTTTTGGCCACTGTTTCCGCAACTCCTCGCAACCAGTTCAGAATAAAAATCTCGAAACAAAAAGCCAAGTGCTGCTGTTCGACCGAGTCGGAATTCAAATCAATTTAATCTCTTCTTCTTTTCAATTTCGATATTCACCTTTAAATGCATGTTCTTCCTCTTTCTCTATCGTATTCACATATTACATGTATGTTCTATAGCAACAAACTTCTGTAAGTATGTCGTAAATGCAACAATTCAATAGCTTTATACTACAAATTCATTTTACTTATACAAAATACTAATTACTCCCGGCCATAAGCCCTTTGCGCTAATTTGGCGTAAACAGCCACCAAAACTGGTCATTGGGGCAATAGTGCATCTGCACCTCAGCGGTGTTTTGTCAAATTTTTTTTAATTTTTTCTTCATCTGTCATCTACATCTACAACACTTCTCACACCAACACGCTCGCCGCCCTTCCCTAGACCCACATACTGCTGACTTGCGGCAGAGGCAGAGGCAGCGCCCTCACACAAACAAAAAACAAATATAAGCTGCGGGACGGGGTTCGGAAGAGTCATCGGCAGGGGGAGGGCAGAGGCAGGGGCCGAGTGAAGCAGAAGCAGAGTGTGAATGAGAGAATGTAAAAAGCGCAACGAATGCTGCTGGACAGGGTGGGTTTAGCCACTG